TATCTCTATTTTTATTTCTCTATGTAATGAATCATTTATTTTTCTATAACCTCTTTACATAATTGAATAGTAAAATGAGATTTTTTTAAAAGTCTACTTTACAAGCACTTCAGATCTTTATGTAAGTTTACTATTATAAAGTTTTAGTAAACAGCTAGGACACTATGGAAATAAAAACACATGTGTTACTGTTGTAGTATACTCAGAGAGAGCAAGACACGAAGGCTTTTGCAGGAAAACAGTGTACTAGTACCAGCTCAGCAGATTTGTATTCAAAGGCTGAGCCCCATATTTCTGGGGACCCTTTCTTTGGTTCGTTTTGGTTTCTTTATCCCCCTTATATGGTTCTATACACTTTTACATACTTTTGATTGGGTAACTCATATGAGATAACTTGTATAAGGTTGCTTACAGGGTTATGCAAGTACACACTGGGCTACTGGGCTGTCAAAAATGTAGGCAAACATAAAGTTACAGAGTTTGCTGAGTTGCTGTGGGGACAGGGCTACAGTGTTACTACAGGATGCACATGTATACTTAAATTCTAAATATGCTCCATTGTTTTTCTTTGTTCTGTAAGCCCCCCCTACCACATTATAGTTTTTAAATTGTCTAAGTCTTCATGAAACCAAAAGTTCATAATTAATCAACTTTTATGTAAATACATTGCATTGTTGGAAAAGTCATGATGTATTTTCCTGTTTTCTATATAAAAATGTGTCATGACTTTTCCAATGACCCAATATATTGAGACCAGTACAACACTAGTATTGTTTTTCCAGGGAAGCCGATACACTGCGGACAACTACCCACCATTCACTCCTCCTGAGTATCCCTACTTTAGCCAGATGTAGTGAAAGAATAGTTCTAATTCCATGAAGCTAGCTGCCAAGGTACTGATCTCTGTTTCCTTGTTGGAGAGATGCCTCTTCATTTATTCTTAAATGGGTTCAGAGTTTCGTCTGTTTGTTATCTTCACTTTGAACAAATTCGCCTGTGTTATATTAGGTAATAGCATGATTGCTCCTTCCCTGGGTTTTACTTTCGAATAGCTCAGAGCTTGCACTGACATGCCTGTGTTAGTGATTCTTAGAAATCTCTGTGACTGTTAATCCCTAATCACTTTCTTATGCTGATTAGCCACATTTTCAGATAAAATGAAAATGTAACTGCTTGGAAACATTCTTCATTCAGAAGTCATTGTGACCAGTCCTACTTATTTTTAATTAAATATTTTAACACAGTGCTTTTTCCTCCCCAAGACTTTCCTCTAAAGGTTCAATAGGGTAACTGTTTTGGGGTAGTCCAAACTGAGTTCACCTGAGCCTCAATATAAATACAGCACCATGTCTTTTAGTTATTTAACAATCATTGAAACACATACTATTTCCAGGCACATAGGAACCACAGAAATGGAAAAATCAATTAGATATGACTCTTATCCTTGAGATGTTCCAGAAAAACAGATAGGAAACCAGAATATCATAGTGTATTGAAATAACAACCATGGTAAGGCTGTCGTAGTGGAGTAACAGTGGAAGGAATGCTATGCCTAGGAAGAGGAGGGTCACAGGAAGGAAGGGGACATTTGGCCAACTTTTTTTTCTTTTTTTTGGAGAGATTTTCACTATAGGGTGCATGCGCTCGCCAGACAGACAGAGAGAGACGTAGAGACAGAAAGCGAGAAATCATCCCCCAGGGGGGATGGTCACGCCGCAATCCCTTCTCCTCCATTCTCTTCTGGGGATCTTGGGCACGCACGCACACGCGCCCGGCATGAGTTTTAATCCACCGGGTCCGGGACGTGAACCGCGGTCGACTACGTGGGAGTCCAGTGACATAGCACTGAGTTCACCTGAGCCTCAATATAAATACAGCACCATGTCTTTTAGTTATTTAACAATCATTGAAACACATACTATTTCCAGGCACATAGGAACCACAGAAATGGAAAAATCAATTAGATATGACTCTTATCCTTGAGATGTTCCAGAAAAACAGATAGGAAACCAGAATATCATAGTGTATTGAAATAACAACCATGGTAAGGCTGTCGTAGTGGAGTAACAGTGGAAGGAATGCTATGCCTAGGAAGAGAAGGGTCACAGGAAGGAAGGGGACATTTGGCCAACTTTTTTTTCTTTTTTTTGGAGAGATTTTCACTATAGGGTGCATGCGCTCGCCAGACAGACAGAGAGAGACGTAGAGACAGAAAGCGAGAAATCATCCCCCAGGGGGGATGGTCACGCCGCAATCCCTTCTCCTCCATTCTCTTCTGGGGATCTTGGGCACGCACGCACACGCGCCCGGCATGAGTTTTAATCCACCGGGTCCGGGACGTGAACCGCGGTCGACTACGTGGGAGTCCAGTGACATAGCCATTACACTAACTGCTGGTTCCCACATTTGGCCAACTTTGAAGAATCAACTCACTAGCTGGCTGTGAGATAGAAGAACACTACAGAGAGAAGAAATGGCGTGTACAGAGGCAAATATATATCAAAGAATATGATAAAATCTGGTGACTACTTACCTCTGTCTAGAGCACAGCTCCTTGTGAGG